TTAATTAACCTTGATACGTAATTAATTAATAAATTCGCTAGATATTATTTTTCTAATTTGAATAAAGATAAGTAAGGAAAATTATCCTAATTCAAATCCACATTTTACCCAATTCACCGATATCTCATGATTAGCTGTCGCTGTTACTTACTCTTCTCATTTATCCCACCACACGCGCCCACAACCGCCTACCGATGTATAAATAGACAGACACGCTCTCTCACACACACACAACTCATGCCTATATAAATTTAAAAAATAAATAAAAACATCTCAATTTGCTGGGGTGGAATTGCAACAAAAAAAAAATAAAAAATCTCGATCGATTTCCATGCACAGCGCAGAAATCGGCGATTGCATCGGGGTGGAGAGCTGCGCGAACCTGAAATCGGATGTAGACGCGCCGCTGGAAGGAAGCAATCGCCGGAGAATAACGAGGCTGGAGTCGGCGACGGCGGCGGCAGCGGAGAGGGAGTATCCGCCGCCGATACCGTGGCTGGTGCAGACGGAGAATCTGCCGTCGCACATGCCGTGGGTGATGAGGAGATACTACACGGAAGACGGAAGGTTGGTTATAATGGAGGAGAAAGTGGATCGTCACGAGTATTTCAAGTCACACCGTTTCAACGGTCGTCTCGTAATTAATCTCATCCCACTAGACGACGTCGTCGAGGAAAGCTTCAAAGAGTATTACGCCGTAGAAAATACTGTTGAGGAAATCAACGGTGGGGATGGTGGAATCGTGGATCCGACGGTGGAGAAAGCGGTTGCGGAGTACTGTAACTATAACGGGATAAGAGTGAACCCTTGCGGAGGGTTTGCTGCTGCGGCGGCGGCGCCCGTAACTACGTTTAGGCCTCCCCTTCATATATGAGAGTGTTTAATATTTTTATTTAATTTATTTGTTTTTTCTTCATTTCAGTTTTTTTTTTATTCCGTCAATCCACAGAGATGAGAGTCTAATGCGGTTTATCATTTTTGTACTTTTTGCATGTGAAATAGAGTTTTAATGTTTTTTTTTCAAGTGTATTTCACTTCTTTTCAAAGGGACAAATAATAAAAATATATAAAATATAAATAGATAATTAAAGCAAGTGTATTTCTCTCTTGTTTTCGTCGAAATTTTTGCATTTATGAGTAATAAATTGTGCGATTGGTTTGGAAGCTGGCAATTTACAACAAATAACAGGCTAAAATGTTATGATAATAAATCTGCCCGTTATCAAAAGGAATCAATTAATTAGATGATTAATCTAATTAATTGCTGGACCTGAAGCAGAGTTTTAAATTTTCTGTTAAAAGAATTATCTAAATAAAACATATTAGCCAAAAATATAAATATTTTAGGGTTAAATACAAAAACACCCTTGTACTATGGACTTTGTATCATTTACCCCCCTGTACTACACATAAATATAAAAATCCCCCTGCTATTATATTTCCATTAAGAACTTACAATCATATCCCCTGCTAAACCTCCCACTACAA